GAATATAAGTAACTGCCTTCGGAATCAATACGAAACAGTGTCGCTTTATTAATGCATGATATGACTGTACTTTTTATGAATAACAGGTGCCAAGGTGCGGATCGAAGTAATTTTTTGCGAATGCAGATTTTCTAGGTATATAAGATCTCCTCATTTGGGGCACTAAAGCAACACAAACATCTCTTGTTTTTCTTACCTATTTTTCTTGTAGTGTACTCAGTGATATTTTGTATATATCAAGTCAAAGAGAAACGCTATTTAGAATACAGTTTTCCCAGGTGCATAAGTTCTCTGCGTTTGGTGTAATAGCGCAGCACAATCATGCTACGAATTTTCTCCCACAGTGGCATAATATCGTACTAAGTTTAGTGATTATCAGGTCGACATAAACATAACATAATATCGTACTAAGTTTAGTAATTATCAAGTCAACATAAAAACCGAAATTTTGGATGCTGATTTGAAGGTGAATAAGTTTCAACATGGCAAAAGAAAAGCGATATTTCTATCTCCATTCTTCCCAGATTTTGCCTTGTTTCAATCTAAGTTCTGCTTTGGGAGAACATAAATGTGTCTTTATATATATTCATGTATACTTTATCTTTTCTTCATTGCTATAGCATCAGGAATTGTTCCACAATGAATAACTTGGAACAAACCTCGTAGTTTATGTAGATTCATATTTCCCGACGGGTTTCCTACGAAAATTAATCATATATTATGTAATATCAAGCCACCGACATTTTAATTAATGATGGACAAAGTATTTATAGACGAAGAGAGGGAATATGTAAGTAATGAAGAAATTATACGAAAAATGCAAGCAACAAGAATCAGAAAAGATAGTTGCAATTTCTGGGGCCCATAATGAGTAAGGAAGGCTTATAAAGACACTTATAGATCATATAGGAGGCCAGAAGGTTAGAGAAACTGCGAATTATCTTCTTAGGAAGCTTGTGTAAATAGATGGCAGAATAGGCACAGGAAAGGATAATAAAAAGATGAATATTGTTAAGAGCTGGAAAGAATAGAAAGATATAGAGTATTGTGATCACTTACGTCTGAAGAATCAAGGCAAATAAAAAAAGACATATTCTTTCATTCGACATAAAAAATTTCACGAACACAATTCTGAAACAGTTTTTTCAGCCAACCTTGTGATTTCTCATAAAATCCACCTCGTTTGTACGCATTTGCGAGATTTGCAGCAAGTATACTGACTGAAAAGAAGATGAAGAAAAGTAAAGATAAACGGTTATAGTATGATCTTGAAAAAGCTGCAAAACTACAACAATGATTAGGGGGGATTTAGACGAGGGAGGATGAGAAAATTTAAAAGAACTTTAATACCAACGAAACAAGATGAATGAGTTTTAATAGCGACAAGAATTCGAGAGAGAAAAGAGCAAGCAGGAGAGAAACAGAAGAAAAATGAAAAAAAAATGAAAAAAAATGATGAATCAATAAAAACGAAAGAGTTTAAAACATGAAATATAAACAAAACATGTAAAGTGACAATACATTTTAAAAGATGATTTCAAACTAAAAGTAATACGACGAAGATGAAGATGGAATATAAAGAAAATAGATGTTTCATATCTGAAATAGAAAATAATTTAATAAAGAATTTTCAAAAGAAATAGTTTTTTTTTAAGAATTACACGGGAAACAATAAATCAATGATTAAAACCGACCGTCTAAAATAGTAGTACAGATCACTTCCTCAAAAAAAAAAACAAAACAAAAAAAAAGTGAAACCGACAATAGAAATGGATATGTAATATTAACCAATGAAAGTAGTTGTCAAAATCTAACATAGACGTCTGTATTTAAATGAAATTCTTGGCAAATTCCGTGTATAATTTTCCGAAAGATGAAACGCACCTGTTCCTATCTAATTTTGGTCACAGCTGAAGCCTGGTGACATCTGCTCGTATTAAAAATGATTTATTTATTTCAGGTGAGAAACTTTGAATGGGAAAGCTAAAGGAAAGGGTGAATGAAACGGAGAGGGAATGGAAAGGAGACGCGAGAAATATAGAAATTAAGGATTAAAATATGATAATTACACATGATATCCCGTGCTGAGTCAGGCAGAAAACTCCAACAATGGAGATCTCACTTAAAATTAAACTCAATATATATGTGTACCATGGTATAAGTTTATAAAACATCGAGAAATTAATGATTATACGGTGAGTCTGATAGAGGAACGACTGAGACTCGAGATCTCTGTACACAATATTGATCTACAATACGAGCTAACTACAAACACGCTATACCCTGCTGTGACAAAAGTGATGAATCTGTCGCAAGACCTCCGCAGAGACGTTGAACAATGACATTTCTGCAGCTATCAACGGATTCCTGATATCTGTAGGTGGATTTTCCATGTGAAAGGACGTTTCTAACACATTCCATAATTACCAGTTTATTCTCATATCTGACAAACTTCTTAAAGCACCATTCAAACAAATACTTAAACCAAATCTGAGCAAATTCCATGCTGAGATACGCGATCGTCATTAGAGTAAATTAAATCGATGAATGAGTTTAACCGAATCGGTGCAATGTATCAATGGTAAGTGTTGGCGAACGAGCAGATCAAATCTAGGCTAGTTGAACACAATTCATGCAATTATGTAACAATCTGTGCAATATCTGTGCAGTATCATGTTGGCAAATGGAGTCCATGGCCTCATGAGTTCTGCACCAAACCCTACATCAGCCCGAAATAATTGAAACTGGCTCACATTGGGTCTCACCCTGTTGCCAGTTCTACATGTTCCACGTGGCAATGACTCCAATCCAGTTGAAGTATGTTACGTGTTGTTTTATTAAAATAGTCAGACTGGTAAGACTTCTTACATATTCAATGGAAGCCAGAGAACAATGGGTTGCCCTGTTGGATATGCAATCGTCAATGAATTGACGTTTGCGCTTTACATGAAATAGACTATCGTTTTGGGGTGTTGACTTCGGTGACGATTTATATATATATATATATATATATATATATATATATATATATATATATAATATTACTTTTTATAAGAGATTATAATAAAAACATTTTAAATTGCTACACAAAAGCTTTCATGTTTCAATTTTTGCTTGTACTTGTTCAGGCGATATTAAGTAACTAACTGGTGATTAAATGTTTTTAAGGGAATTTAAAATCAAAATGTAAACTCTTTTCCGAAAATTAAAGAGTGTGGGCATATGATCAGAATTAAAGTTAGACTTGTGGGTATGTCTTGATTAACCAAGTCTACGCTACATAAAAAATATATATGTTCAGAAGGTGGAGGTGGAGGTAGGTATGTCTCATTTCATGTCATTATAAACAGGAACATCGACAGGCCATCGTTGGCGATTGCGGAAAAGATATTTTGTCTCTGACATATTATTCAAAATCATTTAATCACTAGTTACTTACCATCGCCCTAAGAAATACAATCAAAGTATTGAAACATGAAAGCGTTTGTGTAGCGATTTCAAAATGTTCTTATTACAATCTCTTATAATAAAAATATAATAATAATATATTTCTCTATTTTGTACTGAGCTACGAACTGGAGATTTTTTACTCCATTTGTTCTTTCATTCATTTGTATATATATATATATATATATATATATATATATATATATATATGTGTGTGTGTGTGTGTGTGTGTGTGTGTCTGTGTGTATGTGTGTGTGTGTGTGTGCGTGCGTGCTTTGAATTAAAATTTTTGTTTGGCCGCGTTTTTTCTTTTCTTTTTAAGTATTGTCCGTTTTCAATTCCCTTAATTTGCGACATAAAATGAATTCGTTGATTTTTCCCTGCAGAAAGCAATAAATTAAATGAATATTACAAGTAAATGAACATCTCACATGACCTGCTAATTTTAATTGACTTTTTTCGCGCTTTGTCCCCCTCTTCATCTGCTTTATTTTCTTTCATCGCAATAAATTACTTTTGTTCTTTTTATTTTCCTCCAACTCCACACACGCGCGCTTCTCTTTACTTGCGTCGTTCTTTCATTTTCCTATAGTTTCGTCCTTTTCTTTTCGTTGTTCTATCGTGGCAGCGATCGCATTATTTCCTTTTCTTTTTACTTTCATTGAATGAGTTTTTGTCTCTGAATTTTCTTCCTGATTTCTTTCTACCTTTTCCTTCTTCATTCCTCCCGAATTCCAATCCATTTGACTTCTGTTCAACTCTCTTATCTCTCCTTCCCTACGCCACCATTCACACTCGAACCCACAAACACTCTTTCACATCACTCTCACTCACTCCTCTCTCTCTCTCTCTCTCTCTCTCTCTCTCTCTCTCTCTCTCTCTATATATATATATATATATATATATATATATATATATATATATATATATATATATATTATTCCTATTTTTATTGTCTTAGAGTTGATCTATATATTTTAATATCGCATCCCCCATTCAAATTGTTTTTCTCTTAATTTACTATAAATTATTCTATTTTCTTCGCTTTTTCACTTATGTTTTTGTTTCCAGCTTCCATATTTTCTTTCGTTTTTTTTAATTTATATTTAAAAAACTTTGTCATTAGTTTTTCTTCTTTCTACTAAAGTAATCAATTCAGTTTTCAGATCCCCAAATTGAACCGCTGCCTTTTTCGCGCTCAATGGTCTTCTTCAACCCACTATTCTTTTGATTTTCTTCTTTCATCTACACTCATTAGCCAACTAAGACTTTGTTTCTTACTTGCATTCTTGTTTGCTTACATTCATTGTTTTATTTTCTTTGATGTTGCCTCTTTTTTTTTCTTTGATATTCTCTTTCTTTCTTTCTTTCTTTAATAATGTTTTTACTTTCTTTTTTCATATTTTGTATCAGCGTGTCTTCCGTTTCTACTTTTCTTTTACTTGCCTTCTTTTCCAACACCTTTATCCAACTACACGATTTTCTTTCCTGTCTGTTTTTAATTTCTTTGACTTTTCTTTGATGCCTTTTTCATTCTTGCTTGGTGGCTTTCAATGTTTTTCGAATTTCTTTCCTTTTGCATTGTTTATGTCTTTTCTTTAATTTATTTCTCTGTTTCTTTCATTCTTACATTCTCTCAGTGTCTATTTAATCTCTTTCTTGCTGGCTTTAATAATTGTATATCGAATTTCTTTCTTTTTCTTTTGCTTTCAGCATTTCCTTCATTTTCTTTCTTTCTTTATTGTTTGCTCTCAAAGTTTCTTTGTTGTTTTTCACTCTTTCTTTCATTGTTATGTTCGTTTTTATCACTCTCTTTCTTTGTGACTCTTTTTCCCTTTTGCTCAATGTCCCTATCTATTTCTTCCATATATCTTTTGCTCCCTGACATAGCATGCTCTCCCTTCCCATGTATCCTCACACCATTCACTTTTTTCTACCAAACGAATGATCCATACCCTGCAATGACTCTTTAGCCTTTGTGCTGTAAACGACTCACTTGTCTTTTCTCTTCTTCCCCTTTCTTGTCTCATCCCACCCCTATAAACTGCCCACGATGTACAAGGCTGACATTAGAAGTAGTAAATCAAACAATGTACAGCTTTAATCCATGGGTCATTTCTTTACTCTTTTTCAGCCAGTCTTTTTCTCGCCATCTTTCTCTCTTCAGCCCACACCTTCATAACTTTTACTCCCACTTCTCCCCTTAATAATCGTTTCTCATCCTACCCTCGCACATATCCACTTCTTTTCTTTCTTTTTCATTTTCTCGTTTTTCGCTTATTTGCTTCCATCTCTCATTTTAAATTCTTTCTTTTCAATCTTTTTGCTTTCTTCAAGATGAAAAGATGACTTGAACAGGAAACGCCAAGCAATAAAGATTGTTTTTTTATCTTTTTTATATTCTTTCTCTTCTTTTTCATTTGTTTGTTTATTTTTCTATTATTGTTTGTTGGTCGTTTATTTTATTCTCACAGACGCCTTCTTCACCTTCATATTGTCCTTCTTCTATTCTTCCAATATTATTTATTTCCTTGTTCGGGGTTGGGGTCCCAAGGGTAACGGCTTTTAGCCATTTTTCGTCTTTCAGCATCACTCTTTACAATTCTTTGCATTTTTATTTGTTGCCTCTTGCCAGTCGGATCTAAAAAGTAGTTCAGCTCCCAAAAGTCACTTGAAGAACAAGAAAAGCAAGGTGAAATGTACCAAGGATAAAGATATAAGAAGCTTTCAACGGGCAATACACTGTGCAATTAACATTCCCTCCGTATGTTAGATACAGCATATTAGTTAAAACCACGCATATATCACAACTACCTGATTCGAAAGGTCCAAATTACAGATACATATGCAAAACATTTTGTCGTATTTGGTTACTTCTTGATTTTGATTTTGTCTTCGTAAAGCTGTTCATTTCAAAGAATTTTATATATATATATATATATATATATATATATATATATATATATATATATATATATATATATATATATATTATCACTTCTAGACGGATGCGAGACGCGAAGATGTAGTCTTCAGCAAGCAAGGAATTTTGTTGATTTTCTATGTATTGGATCCCAGGTATGTAGATATATTTATATATCTGTTTATATATTTTTAAACTTACACATGAATAACAAAACACTGTTGTTGTAATATATATTCTATCAATATGCATTTTAGCAGTTTTGTGTTGGCTTTTCTGAATTCAAATTGTTTCAACGTTACTATCTCCTCTACAAACCTCCGCCTGTTTAATGTCTATTCCTCTAAGCTGAATATGTTATGATAAAACTGTTAATGCAGATAAAATCATTTTCTCATTCTTGTTTCCAAATAACAATATTGTCCTTTAATTTTAATTGCTTATCTATTAACGATATAAACTCGCTTTAACAATTGCAAATTCAATTCTTATATTACCATTTTCCTCTCCACTCGCAGATATAGTTTTATAATGCAGAAAAAGATTAAAGGAAGCGAAAATGCGGTAGAGTAGTGATAATATCAGTGGTCATCGATAAGAATCTTTGTTTTCCAGTTTCAAATTTGGTCGTCGCTAAAATAAAATCTTTCATTATTCTCTTACTTTTCTTGCAGTAAGTTTCACCTTGTACAAGGCCCGATGGCCACTCGAGGTAGAGGCTTATATTAATGGATAGTTTATATCGATAAGAGAGGAAGATAACAGTCAACTCCAGACTTGAACAGGTTAAGATAACTTCCAGAATATGCTAGAATATGACTTGACTTCAAGTTTTGTCGTATCTCCTTAATAAATCATATCAGTAATCTCACAAAGACAGAAATAAATAATCTTGGACACACAAGATATTTAATTCTAAATTGGTTTTTCTAACTTGTATGAATTAATAATTATTTCGCAATACATAGAATCAAACCGGAAAGTGATGGTTAACGATTTATGCGAGTGAGCTTTATATTTACTAAACTAGAAATACAAAATTAGCGACTTATGCCAGATTAACTTAAACCCATCATTAATTTACTGTGCCATCTACATCTAATATGCAATGTCTTTGGAAACATTCGGTTGATACGTTATGGTTTCGTAAATTATAATAGATTTGATGCCAAATAAAACAGGATTTTTCACCAAACATGAGAATATATAATCATTTTTTTAAATAAATAACAAGAATAAATTTTATATAAACTGAGAAAAACTGAAAATATTTGATGCGGATCCAGTAATCATTGATGTGTCATACAACAATATTTCTTAATGTTTTCTGCTCACCGTTGGAGGAGGGGTGGTCTAATATGATGTAAATTTTATATGACATCAAAAATATTTCCTTTCTTCTAAAAATATTATTTTTAATTTTTTAACAACTTTTCGTTTTTCTTTTTTCTTTTCTTTTTTTTTAAATTTTATCTTCTTGATACATTTTGCTGTTTTCTAGGTAAACCTTTTTCACGAATCCAAATATCAGAATCTTTTGTCAATGAAGGAATGGTTGACGCCAAAAAAGAGTTTAAAAGATCAGTGTATATGACATTTATAGATTTGGACATTCCATCATTGTTTTGATTTGTATTATATATATATATATATATATATATATATATATATATATATATATATATATATATATATATACATACATACATACACACACACGCACGCACACACACATATATATTTATATATATATCTATGTGCATATAACAAGATTTCTCGAATATTCAGGCTGGTAGGTGTAAATAAATAAATATACTTGTGTAATAAATGAAACCGAGCATCTAATCAAATATGAGTATCAATTAAAAAACAATGTTTAAAAAAATAAATTAAAAATATGTCGTATTTCACTCTTTACTTAAAAAATTGTCTTTGTTTACGTTAGGAAATGAAACTGAAGAGATTTGTAGATTTCGAGAATTGGAAAAGAAACAGTGAAGAGAAACAGATATTTGTACAGATATAAAATTTAATTTACAATTAATGAATAAACATGCTTTTCATATAATTAACTGCACACAGATGCATACTAACTAAATAGGCATAGAACACAGGAGAAAATTGATTAATAGAAATAAATCTCATTTATCCATTTTAATGGGTGAAAAATTATTTGTACAATACAAAAAACATCATCATAAATTAATATTTTGTAGAATAGCTATTATTCACTTCTACAGCAACCAATCTCTTCTTGTAGTTCTCATTTAATGATTTGCAAATTTTAGTTGGTATTTTGTTCCATTCTTCTTCGCATATGGTCTTCAGATCCGCTGTTTTTGTTGGAGTTCTCGATTGGATTTGAATTTTCAAATAACGCCACAGATTCTTGTTTGGGATTAAATCTGGAGAATGACTTGGCCATTTCAGGATATTTACATTATTTTCAGCAAGCCATTTTTTCATAGATTTTGCAGTGTGCTTAATGCCATCATCTTGTTGGAAGATCCAATTAGGAGGAAGTTCAAGATTTTGCCTCAAAATATTTTGATATGATGCGGCATTCATTCTACTGTCTCTTACTGATATGTTACCGGTACATTTTCCAGAACATCATGCCCAAACTATGATGCTGCCACAACCAAATTTTATAGTTGGAACTGTGGTCTTTTGTTTGAAGGCATGGCCATCTTTACTCCAGACATGATTACAAGAATTACGTCCAAACAACTCAGTTTTGTTTTCGGCTGTCCATAAGATTCTTTCGCAATATGATTTTTCCTTATCCTTATGTTCATGAAATAATTTCAACCTGGCATCTCTGTGTCTTTTCAATAGCAGCGGAGTATTCCTAGGGGAGAGTGACTTTAGATTGTTCCTGGGAATTTCATTGCTTATTGTCCGTGGCACAGATTCCTGATGAAAGCAAATCATCTTGCAACTCTTGACGAGTAACCAAGGAATTCTGCTTAATTTGACTCATTATTTGCCTCGAAGATCTTGAAGAAACCTTCTTTTTGCGAATTTGTCATTTCTTTACCTCTTGTAATGATGATAAGCTTCTGACACGAATATCAATTACTGAAGTTTCGGCTTGTATAGTTTAAGCTAAAAATAACTACTGAAAACATTACTGGAACATTCTAGAATATTCCCCTTGAATAATCTAGAGTATTAAAGCAAATTAAGAGTTTTAGAATCTGAATTTTGCATTGTACGAATGCACTTTCCACCATTAAAATGGATAAATAGGGTTAATTTCTGTTATTCCAATTTTTTTGTTTTCTATGCATTTTTAGTTATTATGCATCTGTGTGCAGTTAATTATATGAAAAGTATATTTATCCAGTTGTTGGAAATACAATAAATTAAAAATTTCTATGTGTACGAATATATGTTTCCATTCACTGTACGTATACAAAAGTACTATTCGAGCTTTATTTGATCAGCATTTTCTACGTTGTCCATTGATCAAGACACGTCAGTGCTAATGACAGGTAACCCTAGACGACGCAGGCTCTAATCCTACCGGAAGCGCATATTCGTCTAACAAAATTTCTTGAATATTCAGGCCGGTAGATGTAAATAAATAAATATACTGTTTAATAAATAAATAAAAACAAAATATGTACCCAGTTGGAGTTTTTGGAATCAATCATTTTTATAAGCATCAATATTGCGTCATGGTTGATAATGGTGGTAATATTATTTATTTTACATCTGCTTAGTTAGGTAAATCTTTTATATGAAACGTTTCTCTTAGACCACTGACGCACTCTCCTACGTCATCTATTGTGGCATGATAGAACGAAGGATCTTTGTCAAAATAACAACTGAAAGATTACGACGAAGGGAGAAGTGGATGCATGCTTTTTCAAGAGTGTCCGCCCCTAACTGAACATATACATCTTCAACTGAAAGTCGAACTCGATTGGCCGATTTTATTTACAGATCTGCTAATTGTTAAGCAACATCTTTTAGTTATTAAGTTGCATCTAATTATGATAATGCAATATATGTTTCAAGGCAGCAGATCGATGTAAAGAATTGCAGGTAGTACAAATTCATTCTAAATCCTGTTTTTGCATATAAATATTTAAATATAAAAGAAAACTTCTCCAAAAATCACTCAATCACTTTCGTTTATTAGACATTGAATTGTATCACTTCGCATCATCCATAGATCGCATGGCGTTTTAAGCTAAGCTGATGAATACTTATGAGCGTTCCTAACTCAAGAATTTTGAAAAACCAAAGACTATTTCGCTCTAAATAATTCTTACAAAATAATATCCTTACATTTGCCTTGAAAAAAATACCCACAGTGAAATCGGTAATCTACCTGAAATTATATATATGGAGAGAGAGAGTAAGAGAGAGAGAGAGAAGAGAGAGAGAGAGTAGAGAGAGAGAGAGTTTTATGGTATACTATATTTTTTGGGGTAAAAGTTAATTGTTCAGTATCAAGAATGGGTTCAGGACCACTCAACACCACCGACAGAACACAGCCGCCTGAGTGCCGGAACAACCCAGAACCTAGACAACTCAGGACCGAGACAACTCAACATCAGAAAAAACAACGTTTTTATAACTGATTAAAAGTAATTTACCAAGATTAAAAACTTAATTTGTGAATATTTTTCTTCAAATAAGGCATTTCAAAAGGCATTATTTTTGTTTTGAATTATTTTTAATAAAGTAAATCGTAAAGTAAATTGACATATAAAAATAATTCAATAAAACATTGTTTTTAATTATTGTTTAATAAAGTAAATCAACATCCTATAATACTTTCATAAAAAATAAGTTAATAACTTTTGATTTACATTGGTTGGCTGTTTGGTAGTATGTATTGAAAAAAAGATAAGAAAATAATTATTTCATAATGTTAGGGAAACGCTACTTTTCTTTTGCTTTAGTTGATAGTTCTTGTATTCTTGATAATGTTGAACCAAGAAGTAATGTGAGGTTGAAATAAGGGTGAGATTTCCGCATTTAAAAGCCTATAACCTTTCCTTAGACCACCGTGGAACAGCAGAACACATTCACATTCCTCTGCTGCTCTTGATTAGGTACAGGTTGTTGCTCTTGATTAGTTACAGGTTGTGTCCTTTTTAACATAATATGAAGTTCAGTGATCAAATACACAATGAAATATATTACAACTTTTATTATAAATTAGGGAAATAAAAATAAATATTAAACAAAAAGCAACAGAGAATCCGACCATGTAATAATCTGAGAAATGTATATATATATATTGATCACCTGCAGAGATTGAACTCAGTAAAATCGTAATTGCTCTGTATGATTGCATCAGGGCATAAAAGGATAAAGTTTTAGAATGTGACTTATATCCCGAAAGGATAATTAAGTTTATGCCTTCACTGTTCAAACCTAATTAAATAGAGATTATCTTTGTTTAGAAAGTAATAAAGAAACAAACTTTATATGAACATTCCAATCTAGCTATTTTTCCGTAAATCTCTATATATAATGGCAATTAACCTTTGCGTGAACAATTCTCGTAAAACATTGCTAGAAAGTTTAATGATGCCATCCACCAATGGACGTGTGACTAAGCAAACTGAACTTATATAACATTTAAATATCATAGACCGCTAGTTAAAAAGCACTTCCTCAGTAGTTTAATATTTACTTCACGGCTGGAACTTTGACATTATTTGCTAAGATATGCAGAGATTCTTATGAAAGCGATTGTTTTACAATGGCTCTTGGATTACAACCATTTATTTTCAGTAAATATTTACATAGTAGCGACGAATATAGAGCGTTAGATTGTGAGAGAATCTTGTAAGAGTCTTGTAAAGACACGACCTTTATTTTTGATTCTGGTTTTCCGCAGATGTAACAAAGCAAAGTTTGATTATGAATTCTCTGTACTCTTGCAATCTTATAAATATTTAAGAAAATTCCATAATATTCTACAACACTGAATCACATAATAGAATGCACTTGAAAAATCTATACAAATTAAAATGCATTAAGGCATTAAGGCATTGTTTATAAATTTTGTTGTGTTTGGTTCATTAGTGTATTTTTACAATATAATAACAATTGTACTTTTTTCAATGTCGAAATTCGATATTTAATATTTAAATAACTATAGATAAATGTCAACCATATTTGAGTCTATAAGAATAGAATGGTTGGGCTCATACTTGAGTCTCAAGGTACATATTTATCAAGCTTGATTATCCTTGTACTTTCTACAAGTATGCTGAGGATGGCGTTGATATATATATATATATATATATATATATATATATATATATATATATATATATATATATATATATATATAATACATTGATTAACGTGTATAGATAATAGATATTAACTTTAACAAGAGTCATGGTAGAGATAGTGATATATTTCCTTCAGACGTTCGTTGTTCGTTGGCTTATTTGCAACTTTTTTGTTTCTTTACATCGCTATTGCTCCGTTTTCACGTAGAAACCAGAACTTCTAATGTTGTTTTTTCAAAGCAAGCAGAACCTTTTAACGTGTGAGGATTGGGCAATACAATTTTCCTACCGACCATATACTTCTATCTTTGTTCAGTTTACTAAATATCGATCATTAAAATCAAATTAGATTTAGGTTAGTGTATTTTTAGGAATGTTTTTAGTAACTTACTAAGCTTAGCTGTATTTGGGCTTAAGGCTAATAATGTATGGCGCCCCATGTGAAGGGATGTCTTTATTAATGGTCAACCACATTAGCTTGCTGACAGTTACATTAGGCTAAATCTCTCTCAATTCCTACAGTTATTTCAATCCATCTTTCAAGACCTGTGAAGCTTATATATTTAGCATATGTAAATGATTTCCTCATGAGAAGAACGTCACTCAGTTTTTGACATGTAAAGAAACTCAACCTAGCATAATAACGTTTGAGCAAACGTGCCATTGCTCGAAAAATACGCAGTAATTATCTCCCCCTTAAGATCAGTCACCTTTCACTGAACAAAGTTACCGTGTTGAACAAATTGTAAACGCCTGCATGCAATCATTATTTATCTTCCAAATTTCCTTTTGCTATTTTACTTTGCTGCTTTGGAGAATTTTTTTTTTCTTATTTCTTTCCATGACATCCTTTCTTTTAACCTTCATTTGTTTAAATATTCACGGAAAATTATATCCTTTTTTCTGTTTTCACATAATACTTGCTTTTATTTTCCGTCTTTACCCATCGGTAAAGTCTCATCTTTCCATTTTTCCATCTGGACTTCGTGTTGCACGCATGAAATCTTTCCTTCAGTTTTTATTTTATTCATTTATTTATTTATTTATTTATTTCTCAATCTCTTTCTTTTTTCTTTCGTTCTTTCTTTCTTTTTCTTTTTTCTTTCTTTTTCTTTCTTTATCTTTTCTTTTTTCTGTCTTTTATCTTTGTTTTTCGTTTCTTTTTTTTTCTTTTTCTTTCATTTTTCTTTCTTTTTTCATATTTTATTGCGTTTGCTTTGTCTATTTACTTCTTTTATTTTATTTATTTCTTACGTTTTCTTATTTTGTTTTCATCTTTAACATTTTCTCCATTTTTGTGTTATTGTTCTTTTCTATTTTTTTTTTTCAGATTTTATCTTTTCACGGCACTATTGGTTTTTATTTACTGCCTCATATTTGACTTCCCTTCTTTCTTTTTTTATAATTTCATAATTAATATTACGCTCATCTTCTTTTTCTCTTTCCTATTCTTTCGGTGGTTGTTTCTGTTGTCTTTCTTTCTTTCTTTCTTTCTTTCTTTCTTTCAATAACCCTCATAAAAGGTAGCTTATAACATAAAAAAAGAATTCAGTTTCAATCGCGGTCAAGAAGAGCATTTTCTTTAATAAGGTTTTCGATTATCTATTCTGGTAGGTCTTAATTTCACTGTTTGTAAATAAATATACAGAACTTCTCTAACAAAGGTATCCATTAAAATAAGGTTTATAGTGAAAGAAGTTAGTCTTGCAATTTTATAATGTTTTGGGTTCAAGAGTTGATAGATGCATCATTTCTGCAATTGGCAATAAAACCAAAATTGCAAAAAAGGCTTTAAGATCTTGATGAACGACATTAGAAAAATTTTCGTGTTAATACTTCATTCGATTAGCTAGTTAGTGGTTAGGGAGCCTATTGATAATCTTCTACTATGAACTATGATGCTGATTTTTGTAAATACACGATGCGAAGGATAAATTGTCGCTTAACTGAAGCAAAAATGAAAATATAATTGACATCTCATTTTAACAGGTATATTTACCAAAATTACACACAAAAAAAACATCTTAAATTACTAAAGAATACATTTCTTCAATAGCATTCTTATTGGCCTCAAAGAAGGACTTTAGACGATTTCGGAATCCTCCGCAACTCTTCTGGAGGGTCTCCTTGTTAGTGAATGCTTGCCTCCAGGTCATCTTTGGTGTTTCAAGAGTTTTTTGGGGGGAAGGGGGAGGGGTCTCTCACTAAACTGTACTTCATACATGATAATCAAAGTAATTGCAGTTTGGGGAATCAGGTGGCCAGATGTGAGGGCTGATGTCGTCGCAGATATTGTCTGACATCCATGACTGAGTTCTCCTGGTTGTGTGGCATGTTTGCAGCGTCTTGTTGCTAGACATAGGGTCTTCTAGCAGCCACCATATTGACCCAGAGATGCACTACCTTCTCAAGGCACATGATGGTGTCCTCTGTGTTGAACCTGAAGCTATCACCAAAAAATTTGGGAGTTCTTTCCTTGTCAGAAGGATCAGGGTGTGTTTTCCAAGCTACCGTACCTTCGTAACATCCAACGCTTTCCGAATCCTCTGCACTATCCTCGGATTGACACACACTCTATGATGTTCGTAGTGAAGCTTCTGGTGCGACTGCCAAGCAGTACAGCATGACGCTTCCAAATTTATGACTTAGTGAATTGCGTCATGGTGCTATTTTTTTTCTCACAGGCAGTGCCCAACCTAGTGTGAACCAAAAAGAACGTGGCTTGCGTGAAATTAAAAATATAACATGGCGACAACTTAACAATCGCACATCCTAAGTATGATTTTCTACTTTAGAGCAGATTTTAAAATAATACAGATATGTTGACTAATTCCTAGTATAATATACAACTGATATATTTATTTGTGTCGGCTTCTGCTAGATTCTTCTTTATATTCTAAGTCATTTCAGGATTTGAACGTCCGTGGCTCTTACAATTTCCTCTCTTTTTTATTCTAAGCTCCTTTACCACCAGCTTTACCAGCTGTATCCCCTGATCCATTTGGGCAAATTCGATTAATAGCTTACGCTTTAAACCTTGCGCTTTTGTTAGTTAAACAATTTAACACCTAGAGAACTTTAATAAGTCCTGCAAGTAGGTGGATATAGGTTTACCTATCCCCCGATTCACACATCTTCCTGGTAATTTCAACATGAGTTGAGGCAGATCCGTTGTTTCCCGTTTAGAATTGGGTTTCTAGTTTCCTCAAAATTATTTTTCTTCTATTTCATTTACGATATTCCCTTGCCTCTTGGTGGCATTGTCACGTTGTTTTAGCTGTTGCCACATACTCTGTAACCCTCTACTTCAAATTCTGAAAACACAAGTCAACTAAACCCCACATTAAAATCTTTGAGAAATGTCTTAGATAATGGGCATGTCAATAATAATTGAACATAAGAAAATTGGCAAAGTAAAAAAAACAAAAAAACTCCATAAATGGATTCCACATGAGCTCAATGAAAATTAAATAATTCGTTATGAAATGTGTTCGGTGCTTCATCTGCGAAAGAAGAATGGGTCCATTTATTGATCGAATTGTGACTTATAAAATTGTTCTTTTATGACAATCCTAAACGATCGGCTTGATAGCTTGATCATGATGAAGCACACAAACACTTTCCAAAACCGAAATTGCATCAGCAAAAGAATATGGTGACAGGTTTTCTATTGGCGTTATCAATGACAACGTTTTGGAACCTAAACAAAGCATCACTGGCAAAATTAACTCTCACAGTAACTAGATGAAATACATATTACGTTAAGCAAAATGCGAAAAGTATTGGTTAACGTTCAATTCCTCTTTCGGACAATGCTTGGCCTCATGCTGGCCTGTTGACACTGCTGGGGCTCAATGACTTGAGATACAAGACTTTACCATATATAATATGTTCTGATCTTCCTCCAACTGGCAACCACTTTGTCGAACATCGGAACAATTTTTGATGTCAAAATTTAATTCAAAATTTTCTTGCCGTCCGAACCTTTCGAGTTTTTTCATAAATACATAAATTTGTTACTCGAAAATGCACAGATGTTCAGGGTTACTGATTTGACTTATTTTAAAACTGTTTAAATACATTAATTCAGTAATAAAAGTGGATTCTAAAATTGGACATTATTTCCCGAGCAAAGTAATTTATGTAGTTCAGTGATCAGGCGACTCATCAGACAAAAGTTAAAAATAATCTTTGTGAAACATGAATTCCTTGAGTTTATAATTATGAAATGTTATTTTTCTTTTACTTTTTAATTTAGCTGAATGGACATATTGTTCCTTTATGACAATTCTAAACGATTGGCTCGATGGCTTGATCATGATGAAGCACACAAACACTTTCCAAAAACGAAATTGCATCAGCAAAAGAATATGGTGACGGGTTTGCTATTGGAGTTATCAATGACAACGATTTGGAACCTAAAGTTTCATACTTGGCCATAGTTTCGAACAGAACAAGAAGATTCCATGAATAACATATATTAGAAACATCTAAATTGTTTGTGTTGTTATTTCAGGCCACTACTTTTGGGTGGTTATATCCTGACCTGAAGATTCGGGTCAGAACACTTCATAGAATCATGACAATATTTTGTTCCCAGCATTTCAAGAGATAACAAGAAACTTTAAAATCAAAACAAAAGGGAAAAGTGTATTCGCCTTAATAATAAATAGATTAATGACAATACACTTCCTGACAAATTCTGATAAATGTTCTTTATGCAAATAGATTAAATATACACCTGTTAGGTTTTTTCATAGTCATTTTAACAGTAGGTAGCTCCGGTTAAGTTTTCTTTTTTCCAGGTTTTCAGGTGAGATGTTTAGCCACCTTGACAGTATTTGTCATAGGAATCACTGAAAAATCCTTTGAGTTATTCAGCTAGAAAGAGAACAGGCTAAAATTGATTTGTGTCAGCCACATTGCCTTTCCAAAGGAGCAGTGGTGAGCGAAAAATTATCATTCAGGCCTTCAGTAATGGCACCAACATTCCTACTCTGGCTTCCATCAGCATGATCCATTCACGAACCACCAAGAGATCGGGGAATAAGTTTTAAAAAGAGGGAACAGTAAAGAGGAAAACTAGATCAGGAGGTTATAAAAGGTTGAGGGATCATCATTTCCCCTCAGAGCTAAAGAGATCAATTAGAAAAGATCCAACTAAATCCATAAGAAGTTTGGCAGATGGAAGAGGAGATTCCGATATAACAGTACAAAGAGAAAATGAAAAAACACTTAAAAATGAATTTGTACATGAAACATTTGAAGAAACTTGTTACTTCAGGACAGAAAGTTAGGTTAGTTTTGGTTGAAGATCATCTTGAATAATTTGGAAAATGACCCTGGAATTACACACACACACACACACACACACACACACACACACACACACACACACACATATATATATATATATATATATATATATATATATATATATATATATATATATATATGACCTTCATTTCAATCCTTATTGATCTTCCGATCCAGGAGGCGAAAAATAACGTCTGACATTGCATTGAAATTTTTTGAAGATCAATGTTAACTGAAAATAAAGAAACTGAAAGAGTGTTCCAGAAGCGAGAAGTGCGAGAGAAGGAACTCTTTGCATAGAACTTACGGTTACATTTATTTCACCCATGAAAAGATGCCGCCAATATATTACTGCGCTTAAATTAATTAAAAATGTGTGTGTATGTTTTTTGTCTGTGTATTTTCATGAGTTATGTTTAATTAATGATGAACATGTCATTTTCTTTAATAATCGATTTCATTGCGCTTCATCTAGTAAGCTTTGAGAGTAATTATAAATTCTTATTGCTCAAAGTAGAATCCAATAGTGTTATAAAAACCTCGGAGAATTCCAGTAAGATAATTTTAATCATTTCTAAGTTACAAAGATTCAGAGCTTAATCTAACAAATGGACAATTTTGCTTTTGCACCAGTTGGACAATTTTGTCTCAGTATATATATATATATATATATATATATATATATATATATATATATATATATATATATAGAGAGAGAGAGAGAGAGAGAGAGACAGACAGACAGACAGACAGACAGAGAGAGAGTGAGAGAGAGCGAGAGTCAAAAGAAACACATTTGTACACATAAAATTTTTAAATTATTGTATTTCCAACTAATGAATAAACATACTTTCATATAATTATCTGTTCACAGATACACAATAACTAAATATGGATAAAAGAACAGAAGAAAATTTGATTTACTAGAAATAAATCCCATTTAGTTATTCGTACCATACAAAAAAGAATATATAATCTTAAATTAATACATTGTAGAATTGCCATTATTTACTTTTACAGCAACCAAACTCTTCTTGTAGTTCTGAATTAATGACTTGCAAATTTTAGTTAGTATTTTGTTTCATTCATTTTAGCATATGGTCTTCAGATCATGGATGTTCTTTGGAGCTTTCGATTGGATTTGAATTTTCAAATAACGCCACAGATTCCTGATTGAGTTTAAATATGAAGGCAG